GTACTCTCTGGAAGCGAACCAGATGGAACACGAGTGCACTTGCTGCCAGGAGCTCAGCAGCCAAGTAAAAGAGGTGACCCTGACTTGCCAAAACGGAACGAGCATAAATTATAACTACGTCTACGTGGAACAGTGCCACTGTGTGGACGCGTGTACCCCTGAAACAGCTGACACCACACAGCAAAAATCTGCAGCATCTAGTGACCGGAAATTGAGCAGAAGAAAGAGATGATCACTGGAAGAAGAAAGCAGAGACCCTAGGGAAGCTGGAATCATGTTTTCCCCAGAGTCACTTGTGCTCCTTCTGTAACAGATCCTATGTCAGTTTCTGTTATCACCTCTTCTCACTTCTTACTTGTAAAAAAAAATAATAAAATATAAGTCAAATAATTCCATTTTGGTGTCTTTTAAGTGATACGATATTGTCAAGGGTAGAAATAGATGACTGTGTAAAATACCTTTGTGTAAATTACAGAAATACACAAATACATTTCCACTCAATTTTGGGGGAAAAGGGTTTAAGGGGTCTCTAAAAAACAAAACCAGAAAACACTGCAGCTACCTTACACTTCACTTTTGTGCCTGGAGAGAGCTTTACTGCACATCATTTTTACGAATGTGATGGTCCCAAGAGACATCGCAGTTACAGGTTCATTTTGTCTCTTATTTGATCAATCCAACTTTCAGCACTTTTCAGTTTTGGTGACTGTTTGATACCCGTGTTCATCAGCTGAATGACAGAACCCAATCGCAATAGGGAGTTGCCCAACACAGATGAGGATAAAAATAAAAAGAGGAAGGTAAAATTTTATTCATCATTACCATGTCATGGGAAGTCAATGAACTTATTAAAATCAGAAAATTTTCCTGCCCCTAATGCCACAGCATTTGCAAATAAGTTCAGGATATGTTTTTAAACCTGCCTTTGTTTCCTGGGCCATCTAAAAGATTCTGAATGAGTTTACACCAGTGAGAAAATCAGCTGCCTTTCCCCACAGCATTTACCTTATCAGTAGCTGTTACAGAACAAAGCCTGAGATCGGCCCCAAGGCTCAGCTGAAAAATAAAGGAGGAACTGTTTGATCAAATAATGGCAAGTTTTGTATGTTCTTATTTAGGAGCGAAATTCAATCCCTGAATGCAAGCACAAGAGCCTTATCCATGCTGGCACGCCCTGGTACCTGCAAGGATGAACTGGGGGGAGCAGCAGGTTTGGAAATTTGGCATTCCCTG